GCGAATACAGACCGATTCACTCTGCTCCTTTAGAACTCTTCGTATAAACGAACAAACCACGTTCTAGCGACAATTGAATGATCTTCACTCCGGAACAAAACAATTCCTAATCAAGATAGAACTAAAGACACCGAAACTGTTACAACAACAAGAAGACTTTATGGAGAAAGAGACTCTTCTTTGTATCTTCTTTAGACTCTTCTTAAGTAGATTATGAAACCAAAGCTTCTTTAAGTCGATTTGGGAGTCCAGAAAAATATGAATACATCTTTAGTAGTACACTGTCTTAGACGTAGAGTCCATGTGTACATAAGGCGACAGCAATTAGTCTGATTTCCGTATTTATTGCTCATAAGGTGATCATCAGGTCTGTCCAAATCCACGTAAGAATAATGAAGAAGCAACTTTTTTGGAGTCGTTCTCAAAGATTCTACTGAGGATTGCTTCTTAATACACTTGAAATACTTCGTAAATATTTCTTCAAGGAAAAGCATCCAACAGCGAAACTATTAGCTATGGAGAGAGACTCTTCTCTAGTCTCGAAATTTTGGTGTTTACAAAACCAAAGTTTCTTTAAAAACATGATTTTGGAGGTACAGAAAGCAATATTATTCCGAGTATTAAATAGTTTCTCAGTTACGCTGACATGTGCGTAGAGTCTAAGCGACCATAATCCGATTGCATTTAGTTTGAATGATATCCGTGGCCATCAGGTCTGTTGGAATCGTTCCAAATGATCCTGCTATTAGAACTAACGTTAGTAAGCATTCTCAAAGAGTATTCTTCTTAATAGCATTATGTCAAGAAGTGTGTAATTTGAATTTATATTCAATGCTTTCCTGCTTTCCTAGGTATTATTCCCCATCTTGTGACCATAAAGAGTTTCTATGATGAGACCTAGGTTTTCGACCTATTCGAAAGTGAGAGTTCGATTCTATTCATTCTCGACAGTGTGAAAGATTGGATGTTATATTTCCTAGAGAATAGTACAAGTTCAGTATTGATCAGATTTACTTTCAATTCACTATCGATACTATAACGGCTTAATGTAATCTAAGTTATTCTTGGAGTCTGTCTATGAGCAAAATTGGTCCATAAAGACATGCGATATGTTTAAAAAAAGAAAACTATATTGATTCCTGGGCATATTTTCAATAAGAAGACAATGTGTAACTTAAATGAAAGACATTTTGAAATCTTTAACATGACATCAAAATACCTCCATTACTAATTAGCTGATACCAGCTGTCGATTTGAAAATTGTCTATGAAAATTAGCCAAGTACTTGTTTAGTATTATAAGGTTTTTTTTATGACTTTTTTTGAGCTTTGTCTAGCAACAGCGACAGCAACAATATTGAAATATAATAAAACAAACAAAAACAACAACAAAAAGTGCCGTGATTTGAATTTATCACCAACATTCAATTGAAATACAAACAAGCTAGTAGTTAGTACTGCTGTAAAACAAAAAAACATAAAAACTAAAACAAACCAAAAAATATTGTAAATAAAATATTCAAAACCGTAACTTAGTCATACACTTTGCCTCCGTCATATATGTGTCAAGAGTGAAAATTCAAAATTCTAAAAGAAATAGAAATATTTACAACTTTAAGACGTCATAAAAATAAACTCGTGCAACTTTGTTATAGTTAAATCAAATAAATTGAACTAAATCATGTAAGAATGTAATGTTTTAATTTCAATTAAATGAGAGCTATTAGAAAACTATTCGTAGTATTCAATATGAGATGCATGACAATTCAATTGATTTTATTTGATTAAGTTTTTATATTTTCTTTAAAAAGAAAAACGTGTTGAAATGTTAAACATTTTTTTGGGTTTTATTTAAAAGGGAAATAAAAAGTGTTTCTGTAAAGAAAATTTTTTACTTTCTTTTTCTATTAAAATTGTTTTTGTGGTATTTAAATTAAAGAACCTGAGGAATGTGTAAATTTGTTTCGAAAGTAATTTTTGGGTGTAAAGTTTATTTACATTATACATTTTTACATTTTGTTAACTTTAATACTAAACATTGTGCTCTATTTCTAACGTGAAATTTTAATTTAATTTACAAACTTAGTTTATGGATTAATGCAGAAAAATCCAATTCTATTAAATGATTCAATATTTCAAACTCTATATTTTTTTAATTTAACAAAATTTGCTTTTGTTTTATCTCTTCTTTCTTAGTGGGTTGTATTTTTAGACTGGTTTCTCTATTTAGATTTTCTGTTTTTTGGTTACAATTAAAAAACCAAATACAAAACTCATTTAATTAAATTAATGTCAAGCGGTTTTATTTGCTATTACCAAAAATGGTCCACAAAACTACTGATTAATATTCCAATTTTGGGTTAATGACCAGCACCAATGTTTGTTTAAAAAAAAAAGTGTTTTATTTTAAAAAATATTTTGGGTTTTTTTGAAATATATAATTAAAAAAGCCGTATAAACTAAAGAGAAATTAATGCGACATAAAAAAAATAATTAACAATTGAAACAAAAAAGTTAAAGTGCAACAATTTTTTTGAAACATTTTTGTTGAAAGTCAGGGACAAATTTTTTGGGGAGAATTTTATTGTAAACTTGTTTAGTGGAGTTTTATTTCATAAAAATATTTTAGAGAACTTAATTACTAAAACAAAATTCGGGCAAATATCATCCGTTTGAAATGTTGTTAATAATGACAGACTTTTTCTAAAAAAAGTATTGACTAGACTAGACTATAGACTAGACTATAGACTAGACTATAGACTAGACTATAGACTAGACTATAGACTAGACTATAGACTAGACTATAGACTAGACTATAGACTAGACTATACTATAGACTAGACTATAGACTAGACTATAGACTAGACTATAGACTAGACTATAGACTAGACTATAGACTAGACTATAGACTAGACTATAGACTAGACTATAGACTAGACTATAGACTAGACTATAGACTAGACTATAGACTAGACTATAGACTAGACTATAGACTAGACTATAGACTAGACTATAGACTAGACTATAGACTAGACTATAGACTAGACTATAGACTAGACTATAGACTAGACTAGACTAGACTATAGACTAGACTATAGACTAGACTATAGACTAGACTATAGACTAGACTATAGACTGGACTATAGACTAAACTATAGACTGGACTAGACTGTAGACTAGACTATAGACTGGACTAGACTATAGATTGGACTGGACTATAGACTGGACTATAGACTAGACTAGACTATAGACCAGAGTATACACTAGACTATAGACTAGACTATAAACTGGACTATAGACTGGACTATAGACTAGACTATAGACTGGACTATAGACTAGTCTATAGACTAGACTATAGACTAGACTGTAGACTAGACTATAGACTGGACTAGACTATAGATTGGACTGGACTATAGACTGGGCTCGACTATAGACTGGACTAGACTATAGACTGGACTAGACTATAGACTAGACTGTAGACTAGACTATAGACTAGACAAGGCTACAGACTAGACAAGACTACAGACTAGACTAGGCTATAGACTAGACTATACTAGACAATACTAGACTAAAGACTAGACTATAGACAATGGACTAATCCACGAACTAGGACTAGTCTATTGGCTATGCGCTAGACTTTGAACTAGTCTATTGACTAGTTTTTGGTCTAGTCTATTAACAAGTCTATGAGCTAGACAATGCACTAATCTACGAACTAGACTATTGACTAGTCTATGAACCAGACTATGGACTAGTCTGTAGATTAGTCTATTCACTCTATTCTAGTCAATAGACTAGTTTATGGACAAGTCTATTGATTGTCTATAACTAATCGAACTAGACTATGGACTAGTCTATGAACTAGTTCATTGTAAGCCACTAAGGGCTAGTTTATTGCCTAGTCTATGAACTTTTCTATAGACTAGTACATTACTTGTTTAAAAATGCAAAAAACTATGTCACAATTAAAGGCATATGTGCAATTATGTTAATAATCAATTGCCTCAACGGCAATTTAAAAGATTATTTTTGACTAAAAAATAAAAACACTTAACAATTATCAATAATATCTTTAACTAATTCTGTTGCAAAACCAATCTAGCAAAAGCATAAATCCCATAACTTTATAATTTTTAAGAGAAAAATATGAGACTTTCAAATAAATTTGGGTGTAACTTCAAAATTTTTTTTAAAGAATTCGCTCCTATTACGTGTTTAAAATTATAAATAATACAAAACCCCAAAATAAACATTTAAAATGCATATGAATTATTTAACAAAATTTAAAAAACCATAATTCTTAAAAGTTAACCAAAAATTGCATACAAAATTAAACAAAAACTAAAGAAATTGTTAAAAATCTTTAAAAAAAATATGTTTATATATTTTATGACTAACCTAAACTTACAACAATAAGCGTTAAATTAATAATATATTACCACCAGAAACAGATTACCACAAAAAGAAGAAGAAAAAGAACTATTACTTTACATACACAAAACATGTAATGAATTTTAAATTACAGCGCTAAAGCTTTTTAGTTCAACTTCAAGCAAAAGTTTGTTTCAACAAAAAATTATTTTATTTATTAATCTTAAGCAAGAATTTAAACTTTAAATTAAGAATTTAGTTTTCAAAAATACAAAAAGTCATTCGCCTTTATATCTGTTAATAATTTTGTTTTCCTGCTTATTATTTATACTGCTCAAGTTAGATTTTTTTTCGAAAAACCTAGTAAAATGTTGGCAGACTATAATTATCTATTATTTTCTTATCTAGCTTGTCTCAAAGCTTGAAATTTTTAATTTAAAATAGATTTTTTTTAATAATAATTACTGCAAAATTAAGTATAATATGCAAAAGAATTAGTCGGTTGTTGTAAGAAAGAAAAAAAAAGTCAAAAACCTTTACAATATTTAACTAATAAAGAAATAATTTATTTAAATTTTAAACCTAACACAACTAATTTGTTTATTTTTAATTTATTTCCTTTCATTTTAGCTAAATAAATTAAAAAAAAAACAAAACAAATATGATTTCACGTCGCAAAATCATTTCACGTTCTTTGGATAATTTGGATGCCATTGGTCCCAATACCGAAGAAGAGGAGGATGTTTGGTATGACAAAGAGAAATTATTTCGTGATCATTTAGAGGAGGTCATGGCAAAATGGGAACAAATTGATGATGAAATTTGGGCGAAAATTATTGTTTTCGAAAAGAATCGTCGTGTCGCCAAAGCTTATGCCAGATCATCGGTTATATCGATAAATGGTTCGAAACAGGGTTTTGATGGTGTAAGGTAAGTTGAAGAAGTTTATTTTAAAAATTAAAATTCTTTTTTTAAATTCGAAATTGAAATTTAGAAATTAATTTCGAATAAAACAATTTCCGAACATAATTTCGAATTTTTGAACATTTCTTAAAAATGTTATAAAACTATTTTTTAAATTTTTAGTTCAAAATCGAAAAATTAAAGTAAATTAGTCTCCAGACTAAAATCAATTTTTTGTTTCAATTTTCTTGATACTACTTTGAAAACGTTTAAAACATTTATGAAAATCTTAAATTTTTTTAAAAAATTTTTAATTTCGAATTTGCAAAATTTCTCAGAAGGGACTTAGAACAAGTTCTTATAAAATTTCCAACAAAATTCCCTTGTTATTTATAACATTTCTAATATTTTTTCTTTTAATTCTATTTACAGAATTGGTTTAAATGGTTTCGATAATCCTATGCGAGATTCTGAAATAAAAGTCATTAAAAAATCCATTGGCGATGGTTTCAAAATCAAAATGGATGATATTGGTAATATATTTGTAAAGCGTTATGGTAAAAGTGGTGTCTTTGTACACAATACAAGTCAAACGAATGAGGAAACAGTTATTGGCGGAGATATTTTACAGTTACCCAATATGGCGTTGACAACTGGCACATCGGCAAAGGTAAGTGGATAGACAAATTAATAAGTGAATACTATCACAGTTCAAATATGTAGTAAAAAGTCTTTGGAACTAGTCTATTCACAAGTTTATTGACTCTTTTAAGGACTTGTATACTAACTAGTCCTCGAAGAAGGCTGTTGATTAATCTATGGGATAGTCTATTCACAAGTTTATTGACTCTTTTAAGGACTTGTATACTAACTAGTCCTCGAATAAGGCTGTTGATTAATCTATGGGCTAGTCTATTAACTAGTTTACTGTCTAGTTTATTAACTAATCTGTGAAATAGACTATTGTATGGATTAGTCTATGGACTTGTCTATTGAGTAGTCCATTGACTAGTCCATTAACTAGTCTATTGATTAGTATATGAAATAGACTAATGTGTTGACAGTCTTTTAACTATTCTATTGTCTAGTCTTTGGACTAGTCTATTGAGTATTCTTTAGGCAAATCTAGTAAATGTCCAACCGAAAGCACTGCATGCATTAAGTTAACTATCTATCAATGTTTTGTGTTGACCTACCTCAAAGATTAAAAGCAATTTTGACGAATGATATTCATCTTCAAAGGACAATATAAAACGGTATCTTATTTTACGATACACACACAGATGAAGGAACACAATAACAAATCGACAGAAGGAAACATAATCAACATTTCTATAGACATTATTAGCAACGACAAATCGACAGAAGGAAACATAATCAACATTTCTATAGACATTATTAGCAACGGCATAGTTTCATTCCACAAAATTGTATTATATTAAAAAAAAAAGCAATTTAACCACTTACCTTGCACTTTCACAGAAGACATCAACTAAATCACAAATTTCTCTTCTTTTTTTTAGCTTTTCGATATGCGTAAATTTACAACGAATATAAATCGCGAATTTTCCCGCACTTATCCCGAGAGTTCACGTCTCGAGGGACAGTGTTTGTCGGCCATATCGCTGGTTAAAACGAATAACAATTTACTCAATTGTCCGCTTTGGATAATGGTCATAAATGTCGTAGCCATTGATATGTACAAGAATCGTTTGCAGTCGTTGCCAAAATCTCTAGATGCCATGGGTACACGTTTGCCATTAAGTGCAGTAGGCGGTCATGTTGCAGGCAGTGAGGATCCCTATTCAACGATTGAAAGTCAAGTTGGTTTAATCTATCCAACACCAGCCGCCTCAGATGATTCGAATAATTCGTCGAATTCATCGAGTAAAGGAAGACGCAGTGTTTATAATATGCAAAATTATATAGAAGAGAGTCCGTATATGCCAAAGGTAAGGATATTTTTTTAAAATTATTTAATTAATCACTCGCGTAAAGAAGTAACACGAACACGAGAAGACGATGTTTTAAAAATTGGCGCGAATTGTAGTAGTAAATGTCAATTAGTAACAGGGATGCATTTTATTGTCTTTTCGGAGACTTTAACTATGAGTTGCAAAATTTAGTAGTTTTTTAGTGTAAACATTATTACAGTTACTTTTTATACCCACCATCAAAAAAGATGGGGGTATATTGATTTTGTCATTCCGTTTGTAACACATCGAAATATTGGTCATAGACCCACATAAGTATATATATTCTGGGTCCTCATTAAATTCTAAGACGATCTAGCCATGTCTGTCCGTCTGTCCGTCCGTCCGTCTGTCTGTCTGTCTGTCTGTTGAAAGCACGATAGAGTCCGAATGGAAAGAGCTAGAGGGTTGAAATTTCACATAAGTATTTCTTATAGGTAAGGTTTGCTTGGTATTGAAAATGGGCAATATCGGTCCACGTTTTCGGATAGCCCCCATACAAGTGGCCCCTCGAAAAGCAGCTTTAACAGCCATAACTTGTTTAAAAATACGAATATAGCGATGAAATTCGACGTAAGTAAGTTTCTTGTGATCCAAAATCACTGTGCAAAATTTTATGAGGATCGGTCCATAATTGACCCTACCCCCCATATAAGGTCCCCTTCAGAAAATGACTTTAACGCTCATTACTGGCTTAAAAATTCTAGTATATAGATGAAATTCGACATAAGTAAGTTTCATACGAGTCAAAATCTATCTAAAAAATTTTATGTTGATCGGTCCATGATATAAGGTCCCCTTCAGAAAATGACTGCAACGCTCATTAATGACTTAAAAATACGAGTGTAGCGATGAAATTCGACACAAATAAATTTAATACGAACCAAATTCTGTCTACAAAATTTTATGAGGATCGACCCATAATTGACCCTACCCCCCTATATAATGTCCCCTTCAGAAAATTACTTTAATGCTTATAACTGGCCTAAAAATACGAATATATAGATGAAATTCGACATAAGTAAGTTTCATTCGAGTCAAACGAGGTTTGATGGTGGGTATATAAGATTCGGCATAGCCGAATATAACACTCTTACTTGTTTTAATTTGTAATCCGTTAATGTAACATTATTTTTTCTCTTTTTTCAGCCTGATTATGATATTTACAATCAAGCTGTACCCATGTTGACCAGTAAAAAGAATAAATCTTCACAAAATCGCAAAAAACAAGATGATCCTTACTATTGTGGTCTTTTGGCACGTATACCGAATTTCATTAAGACCTCTAAGCCCAGTGACAGTAATAAGAAAATGAGTAAAAAAGAGGCAAAAATTGCACGTAAAATTTCAGCATCACAACAACAATTATTGCAAGTGCCACCACAACCAGCCCATCCCATACCTATAGCCACATTTCATCAGCAATATCAACCCTTTCATGCCTATTATCCCTATAAATTGTACTCACAAAATCATCGTCTATCACAATCGCAATTATCACTATGGGATGCCCGTAGTTTAATAAGTGCCCATGGTTAGTAATAACGAAATATAATTTAAATAAAACTTCTTTTAATTGTGTAATTTTCCTCTTTTTCTTTGCAGAATAAGCAAAATAACTTTTTTCCACAAGTGTTTTGGTTTCCTGGCCAACTTTTGACTTATTTATTAACTTTATTTTGTGTTATTTATATTAATTATAAACAAAATTTTATTTTAAATTTCTTTCCTTTTTTGTAATTTTTATTTTATAAATGAAATTTTTATTATTTCTTATGAAAAAAAAGAAAAGTTGTTTTAGCGCAGCTTTTTTTAATTTATGTGATTTTATTTCTTCTATTAAGGAGTTTGAAATGTGTCAAACTAAAAACCTTAATTCCCGCCCTTTAAAGAGTGCGCTTTCCTTAAATTTTTATAAATGCAATATTTTTTATTATAATTACTTAAAAATCGAAATAAAAAAATACTCGTCATTATTATTATATTTTATTAAATATAAATTTTTATAAGTCATTTAAATATGTATTTTAAGAAAATTTTCTATTTTGCCATAGATATTTTTCGTATATAATTAATTTTTTAAGACTGAAACATGTCCTTTTTTTCTAATATACACACGAGCAAAATGTGAGAAAAATTAATAAAATAGTTAATAAAAATAAAACTAATTTAATGATAATTTGTTATACTAGCCTTTTTTGTTTTATGTGTAAATATTTAAAAGAAAAGTAAATGTCAATGTAAATGTAAATAGTTTAAGTATGAGCTAGTTATGATTTATATAAAGAAAAATATACTTAAAATTTTTATATGTGTTAATTTAAGATACATTCGATACATTTATTATATATAATTTATAATGAAAATAAAATATACTGAAAAAAATAAAACGATTTCTTTTTTTTTTCACTAAAAGTAACGTTTTTGCCCGGATTTTAAAAGATAAGGCAGTTTTATGGGTAATATTGTTTAGAAAACTGCATTACCAGTAATAATATAGCGAAAGCAGCGATTTTGCTGCACTACAGTAAAAATCGTTTTTTATATGAGTTTTTCAGCTAGGGTTCTATAGTTGAAACAAAAGTCGACTTTTTGTATAGTTGAAAAGTTGATTTTTCGATTTCCGATTTATGAAAAGTCGTCTTTTCGAACTTCTTTCGACTTACTTCGGCTCTTTCCGAAAGGAAATAAATATTTTTAAGGTAATTTCACAACCAAACCGTATAGTGTAACACAGAAAATTGTAAAGAAAGTGAATAAAAAGAAAATTTCATCTTCGATTTTTTTCGACTTTTCGACTTTTATTTGCAAAATCGATTCTTCAACTTTTTTTTTATAGGATAGTCGACTTTTTGACTTTGTTGGGACAAAAAAGTCGACTTCGACTTTTTGTAGTTCGACTTTTAGTATTTTATAAATAGTCGACTTTTCCGAAATTTTTCGACTTTTTTCAAATTTTCGACTTTTTTCGAATATTTTTTCACTTTTTTCGAGTTTTTCCGACTATTTTAGAGTTTTTGCTTTTTTCTACTATTTTCGAGTTTTCGACTTTTTTGACTATCTCCGACTTTTTTAGACTTTTCTCGACTTTTTTCCGACTATGTATATCCGTCCGTAACAAAATGTTTGTTTTTTCTAATAATTTTTAATAACGAACTTTTCATTTTTCAGTTGTTTATTTATTTCAACAATTTGTCGGATATGCCCTTTATTTTTAGCATAAACATTTTAAAACTGTTAAACTCGGGATATCTACTTTTCAAATATTGCTCAAAGTCAAAAAGTCGAGCGTAGAAAAAATGAGATTTCAAGATTTGTTTAAATTATATACGTTTTACAATATTTATTAATTTTTTCGACTTTTCGACTCATTCCGATCTACATATTTCGAATTTTATTTACCAATAAAAATTTCTACGAGATATTTAACGACTTTTTTTTGACAAAAAGTCGATTGTTCAAAGTATATTAATAGAACCGTATAATAGCAGAGCTTAGATACGTTGTAGCGCTTTTTATAAATATACCAATTAATTGGCAACACTAATGACTACACACTACATAATTGCTTTAAATGGTAGTAATTAGTTAAAGCGAAAAATTATATTTTCTATTAAAAATATAACACAATTATTAAATTTGAGACAAATCTACCTATATTTTTCATAACCAATCATAAAAAATTACCTTCAGCACATACAGGTAGTTGAAAAACTAATTAACTTAAACCCTAAAGGGAAAACCCTAAACCCTACTACTATTTTTAGCAACACAGAGAGACGCACAATTATTTTCCCGGCGAATTCCATACAATTCGCTTTGATTATTTTCAAATATTTTTTTTCATTCGACTGACAAACGTTCTTTCATCTTCAGCAATTTACAATTTCTTGTGTTTAATTTGTGAAAATAAGTGAAAAATTAATGAAATTTATTTAACAATTAAATTTGTTTATTTTATTAAACAAAAATGGATCGTTTTGTTACGCGCACACCCACATGGAAAACTTTAAATTATTCTTCTGTGGTGGCGGCACAAAAAACTCTACCGCTTACGAAAAAGACACCCGGTGATAACAAAAAGAAGCCTTTGCAGCCGAAACAATTAAGTGAAGTCTCAGTGCAGTCATATGATTTTGATAAACGCCTAGTGGATTTATTGCCTGGAACAGAACCAGCAAATGCTGAGAATTTCAATGGCAACAGCAATGACAGTGGCTTAAGCAGTGCTTCTAGTATATCACCACAACAGGCAGAAGACTATGTTCCCGTTTACCAGCCCAGTCCCTACAAAAAGCTACTTACACCCACAAAAAAGCCAATGGGTAGGTTTAAAGGTTAAGAGAAATTGTGTCTAAACAATATATGAAATTTCCTTCATTTGTTTCAAGAAAATTGTTTTGTTTACTTTTGCAAAAAGTTTGTTTTTTGTTTAAATTCTATTTGTTTTAAATTATGTGTACAAAATTTGTTGTTTTTACGGGTGGGTATTAATAATAATAAATGGCAACATTTCTTTATCTGCTGAGGCAATGCCTTTTTGTTATAAAGAGAGCAGACCACATGAATGTCATAACAAAAAGGGAGAATAATAAAGTTGAGCTGTCACTTTTACTTATTCCAAAGCAAATTTCATTTTATTTCTTTTGTTTTTTTCTTTCTATAAAAAAATAAACAAATTATTAAAGGCGCAAATATTTATTGGTATTTATTTTGTAAAAATTAGGTAAATTAGCTGATTATATTGATTGTCCTGTTGAAAAGGAAAATGATACATATATGACAATAACAGGCTCACCAAAAACGCACAATAAAGTAGTGGAAACTGGCCTCCAACATAAAAAGACCTTGGAAGCGAATAAAGTACTAACACAGCAAGTTCAAGGAACTCCAGAGAGGCCAGCAATAGCCGCCAACAGTATGTTAATGGCACGTATACAAAGGGATCTGAATAGTCCCTCTGCTGCGGCTAGAATGAAAGCTTTAAAGGCCATGAAGTGAGTTACAATTTTATACTTGACATTACATATTGTGTAATATTTTTTCTGGAAATTTCTAGATCTCCCACTAAATCTGCTTATAATCATTTTGACATTCCCGAGGCCGAACAAAGTCTTCATATACCCGAGCCTCCTAGTCTAGAGGAAATTATGCGCAATATTGTCGTTTATGTTGAGGTGCGTTCTGGAGAAGATAACCGCTCAGCTGGTGTACGTAAAGTTATTGAAGCGCTGGGCGCTCGTGTTAATTTAAGTTTAAATCGGTAAGTTTTCTAAAGATCTTTATTTTTTATTTATTTATTGTGATTTTTAGTATTGTTTATGTATGTTTTTTTTTTTTAATTCTAGTGATACTACCCATGTAATTTTTAAAGATGGCCTAATGTCTACCTTTAAAAAAGCTAAACAAATGAACATACCCATCGTTTCAATTCTATGGATTGAAGCTTGTAAGAATCAACGTCGTATATGTGATCCCAAAGATTATCCCATTTCAAATTTGGATCGTTATGAAAATCCAGAGTTGTATACTAAAATGAAGGTGAGTTTTCTTTCTTGAATTCTTTATTTTTGCCCAAAAAAGGGAAAGTGAAATTGTATAAAAACTAGTAAGAAAGTAAATAATTCTGAACTGAAATTTTGAACTAAATCTGAAATGGAATGGAATTAGAACTGAACAAGAGCTTAACTAGAACTGAACTGGAACTGAACAAGAACTGAACTAGAACTGAACAAGAACGGAACTAGAACTGAATTAAAACTGAACTAGAACTGAACTAGAACTGAACTAGAATTGAACTAGAACTGAACTAGAACTGAACTAGAACTGAACTAGAACTGAACTAGAACTGAACTAGAACTGAACTAGAACTGAACTTGAACTGAACTAGAACTGAACTAGAACTGAACTAGAACTGAACTAGAACGGAACTAGAACTGAACTAGAACTGAACTAGAACTGAACTAGAACTGAAGTAGAAGTGAACTAGAATTGAACTAGAACTGAACTAGAACTAAATTAGAACTGAACTAGAACTGAACTAGAATTGACTTGAACTGACTTGAACTGAACTAGAACTGAACTAGAACTGAACTAGAACGAACTAGAACTGAACTAGAACTGAACTAGAACTGAACTAGACTGAATGAACTAGAACTGAACTAGAACTGAACTAGAACTGAACTAGAACTGAACTAGAACTGAACTAGAACTGAACTAGAACTGAACTAGAACTGAACTAGAACTGAACTAGAACTGAACTAGAACTGAACTAGAACTGAACTACTGAACTAGAACTGAACTTGTACTGAACTAGAACTGAATTAGAACTGAATTATAACTGAACTAGAACTGAACTAGAACTGAACTAGAACTGAACTAGAACTGAACTAGAACTGAACTAGAACTGAACTAGAACTGAACTAGAACTAGAACTGAACTAGAACTGAACTAGAACTGAACTAGAACTGAACTAGAACTGAACTAGAACTGAACTAGAACTGAACTAGAACTGAACTAGAACTGAACTAGAACTGAACTAGAACTGAACTTGAACTGAACTACAACTGAACTAGAACTGAACTTGAACTGAACTTGAACTGAACTTGAACTGAACTTGAACTGAACTAGAACTAAACTAGAACTGAACTGCAACTGAACTTCTTCATAATTTTAAAAGTGTTTTCAAATTTTGTATGTTCGAAGTCTGTTCAAATTAACTTTAATAAATTAAAATAATGTTTTTTTATGAATAGACACGATTTAGAGATAATTTCGACTTTTTGAACTTAATTCAAGTTTATTATTAAAAAATATTGAAAATATTTGGTTTTTTTAATTATTTTCAAAATTGGTAATGTGTGGAAATTGACCTCAAAATTAATTAAAATTATATTTTTATAAATCCCCAACAGTTTTTAAAATTTGTTCGAAGACAAGTTCAAATTTTCGAACTTCATTAAAAAATATTTTATTTTATTTAGCGCTACCGCAATATGAAAACGTAAATCGAGGTATAAGTGTAATATTAAACACAGATTTTCCTCTCTGATTAACTGCAAAATTTAAACAGCAATAATCTTTCAAGGTCGTTTAAAATTTAACATTTCAAGTACTTATTATAAGATTTACATCTTCTACATTTAAGACAACTCATTCATTCACATTCTACGTTTTAATGTACAAAAGATTACACCTGTCTTGCCTAACAAAACACATAACTTTCTTACAAAAAAATATGAAAACCAAAAATTCTACTGATAACAATTTAAAAATCTAGACCCAGTTACAAAGCAAGTGCAAATTTATTTTGATATGAAAGTAAATTTATAGTTTTATTACAGCGAAATCTTTAATAAGACAGTTTTCAAAAAGTCTTATAATAAATTTTATTTCTTATTTTTAATTCATTTAAAAGTAATTTTTAAATATTGTCTAAGATTTGAAATAAGTACATATTTAAGTGGCTATCAAAAAAGTTTTTGTTCAAAAAGTTAACAGTTAAATAAATGGCGATAAAAATGGCAACCAACAAAAACACTCAAGATAAGCAAAGGTGTAGGCCGCACAACACCAATGATTTCTTTTTTGAAAGTTATCTATATTAAAACAAAAAAATTAGAATGTCAGTTTTATTTTAAACCATTTATAAATTTTCTTACTCATTTATTAAGTGATGAGTAAGTAAACAAAATGTTTTCTTTAACAATGTTAATTTCAATGACCATAAACATTCCTTGAGTTTTTGTTAGTTAAAAAAGCATAAATTTTTCTTGAAAACATGTTAAAGGCTTAATCCTTTATTCTATTTTATATGAGTGTTATTTGCAAATTTTACTTTTTAAGGTAAACACAGTCCATAATAATATGTCTTGATTTGCACGTAGTCTTTTTATCACTTTGTAGACGCGCTCTACCTTAACGTGTTTGTTGATAAATTTTCATTTAGATTTCTTTATCAGAAAAAAATTAATGTGTAATGAAATGTATTTGATTTAATTTTGTTTATCACTAGCTAAATGCACACATTTTTTCTTTAAAGTTTTTGTTGTTCTTGTTTATATACTTAGGTAATATTTACAAAACAAAAACAATTTGTAGCGGGCATGGAAAATTAAGTACTATTGTTAATTCATAAGTGCATATATTGGATCAATAAAACTGAACTAAAACAGAACTAGAACTGAAGTAGAACTGAAGTAGAACTGAACTAGAACAGAACTAGAACTGAACTTGAACTGAACTAGAACTGAACTAGAACTGAACTAGAACTGAACTAGAACTGAACGAACTGAACTAGAGCTGAACTAGAACTGAACTAGAACTGAACTAGAACTGAACTAGAACTGAACTAGAACTGAACTAGAACTGAACTAGAACTGAACTAGAACTGAACTAGAACTGAACTAGAACTGAACTAGAACTGAACTAGAACTGAACTAGAACTGAACTAGAACTGAACTAGAACTGAACTAGAACTGAACTAGAACTGAACTAGAACTGAACTAGAACTGAACTAGAACTGAACTAGAACTGAACTAGAACTGAACTAGAACTGAACTAGAACTGAACTAGAACTGATCTAGAACTGAACTAGAACTGAACTAGAACTGAACTAGAACTGAACTAGAACTGAACTAGAACTGAACTAGAACTGAACTAGAACTGAACTAGAACTGAACTAGAACTGAACTAGAACTGAACTAGAACTGAACTAGAACTGAACTAGAACTGAACTAGAACTGAACTAGAACTGAACTAGAACTGAACTAGAACTGAACTAGAACTGAACTAGAACTGAACTAGAACTGAACTAGAACTGAACTAGAACTGAACTAGAACTGAACTAGAACTGAACTAGAACTGAACTAGAACTGAACTAGAACTGAACTAGAACTGAACTAGAACTGAACTAGAACTGAACTAGAACTGAACTAGAACTGAACTAGAACTGAACTAGAACTGAACTAGAACTGAACTAGAACTGAACTAGAACTGAACTAGAACTGAACTAGAACTGAACTAGAACTGAACTAGAACTGAACTAGAACTGAACTAGAACTGAACTAGAACTGAACTAGAACTGAACTAGAACTGAACTAGAACTGAACTAGAACTGAACTAGAACTGAACTAGAACTGAACTAGAACTGAACTAGAACTGAACTAGAACTGAACTAGAACTGAACTAGAACTGAACTAGAACTGAACTAGAACTGAACTAGAACTGAACTAGAACTGAACTAGAACTGAACTAGAACTGAACTAGAACTGAACTAGAACTGAACTAGAACTGAACTAGAACTGAACTAGAACTGAACTAGAACTGAACTAGAACTGAACAAGAACTGAACTAGAACTGAACTAGAACTGAACTAGAACTGAACTAGAACTGAACTAGAACTGAACTAGAACTGAACTAGAACTGAACTAGAACTGAACTAGAACTGAACTAAAAGTGATCTAGAACTGAGCTAGTCAAGAGACTTCATACAATAATCCATAGTCACTAAACTAATCCTCATATTACTAGAATAGACTAGAATATAGATCAGACCAAAATTTATACGAAACATAGAAAAGCTAAAAAGTTATTTAATTTAACACTTAAATTTTCCATTCCTGACTTGTACATTACTTTACAGTACTAAAAGGGTTGATGATAATAACTTGCAACGAACCATCCATTATAGTTTTTTTTTTTTTATTAGTTAAAAATATGATTGAATGAGTGTATGAATCAGTGTGTGTGTTCACTGGTAGCAATTTTGTTTTCCTAATTGTTTTTACATTCTCTTCTTAATTTCATTATTAATTTGAACAACATGATAAGATTTCAAAAAGTAATTTGTTTTTACTGCGTGTGTTTATTAATGGCGTTTACTTTAACTTTTCAAAAATTTTCATTTGCGGAAGTTTAGTAATGAAGTTCAAGTTCATTTCATAAATTATACCACCTTTACTTTTTTGACTGCATTAATTGCAGGTTTTCCTTAAAAATATAGATTTGTTTTTTTATTTTTTTTTAATCTTAACTTATGCAGATTTTATAAATCTTTGTGGTTTATGTTTTATTATTTGCTTTAAATTGTTTTTAACTATATATTTACACATGATTTAAATAGTACAATTAAACAATTATTTTTTTTTTTTTGTGTTGTTTCTTTCATTTTTAAACTAAATACTTAAAAATATAGCTTTTTTTAAGCAAAATCATTAAGATAAATGAAAATGTTTGAGATTTTTTTTTTATAAGTGCTGATGAAAATTTACTATTTCTTAAATTTTATATAAAAAACAGATAAAATTTAAATGCTTTTTCTTTTATAGTTTTTAAACAAATATTTTGTTAGTTAGTGTTTAAGTACATAAATACTAAAATTTGAACTTTTTGTAAAAAAATTTGTGTAAAAAGCTGTTTAAAAAATAGGTTTGTATTTTAAATAAGTTTAAAATTTGTAGATATAACTCTATAATTAAATAGTTAGTAATGATTGTAGTAAAATAATTTTGAAAATCAGTTAATATTTGTGTTTAGAAGCAGATTTTATGTTGAAATAATTTAAAAATTATGACAATTTTTAAGTGGGAAGTTGAAAAATGTAAAAATTGACCTTAAATAACACTAAAATTAATTTTTTATGAATCTCCTTAATTTAAAAATAATTTTAAGAGCTTTAAAAATTTTTCGAAATTAATTTCGAATTTTCGAAATTAAGTTCGAGTTTTCGAAATTAAGTTCGAATTTTCGAACTTCGCTTAAATAGTTTATATTTTGAAAATACTTTAAAATTAAATGAAAATTTTAAAATTTTTAGGTACAAATATGCAAATAGAATCAGAAATTCATATCAAATTAAGAAATTTTCCAACAAATTTATTAAATATTTTTTTAAAATAAAAAGATAAATCTTCAAATTTGTTATATTATTATTAAATATTTACAATTTATTAATAATTTTTATTTTTTTGCAAAAATGTTTAAACAATAACAATTTTAGTCATAAAACTTTAAATTTAAACACAAATATTAACTGTTCTCATATTGATTATCTGTTTTCAAATCTGATTAACAATTCGATTTTCGTCTTTTTTAATTTCAAAACTCAAAATGATTTTAAACATGTTCTTCTCATCATGCTATCACAAACAATTTTTACTTGCAATATAGTTTTCTTGATTTTCTTTATATTATCACCTCAATATCATTAAAGTTTACATCATATACACATACAAACTACAATTTTAAATTAAAATTCTACTACTACATATATAACTGGAAAAGTTTTCGATAATAAAAACTTTTCTAGGAATGGCTAAGTAGCTTAAAGCGGCGGCACATTCTTTGTTAAAAAACTTAATTAAAACGTTCGCATAACAAATGCTTAGTAGTAATAAACATCACGATAGTGTTACCTCTAAACACATCATTATTAGGAAACCAGCTATGGTACCCCAAGTAGCAATGGTACCATTACCACTGGCATGAGCCTCGGGTAATATATCATCGGCTACTATGTAAATCATGGCGCCAGCAGCAAATGACAAAGCATAGGGTAAAATAAGACTGGCAAATGTTACTGCTACAGCGCCCAGAATACCAAATATAGGCTCTACCATACCCGATAATTGGCCATACCACAAGGATCTCATGACACTGAAACCGGCTGCATGTAGAGGCAAACTAACGGCTAGACCTTCAGGAAAATTTTGTATGCCAATGCCTATAGCTAAATTACGCGCAGATTCAAAGGTGGAAGAGTTAGAAGAACCGACCGCACCAAAACTTACACCCACTGCCAAACCTTCGGGTATATTGTGCACCGTAATGGCCACCACTAACAACATAATACGTTTCCATTGAGCCACGGCACTTTCAGCCTTTGTTCTCTCCTCTTCGGTAGCCACATAGGTATGATTGGTACGTTCAACATCTATATTAGGCTTCTTACGTCTCCTAGGTTCATTATGACTATGCTGGGCACTTAAACAATCAGAAAAACTATCCATACTTTTGGCAGCATCCATAACACCCACACTGTTCTGACTATGTTTCATATCATCCATGGCAATATCCGCTTTATCTTTATTACTCTGCGTCATTTGTATCATCATATTTGAAGAGTTTAAACCCAAATAAGACATTAGTTTATCACAGCCATAAACAAATATGGCACCCAATAGAAAACCTCCAGAGACGGGTAGAAAAGCATAAACGCCATATAAATGGGAATTTTCAGCCATTTCAATGGCCGGCGATAAAAGCGACCAAAAGGAGGCGGCTATCATTACACCAGCCGCAAAACCCAAAGCGGCATCTAAAGATTTGCGTTGATTGCCTCGCAGAAATATAACACAAGCGGCTCCAGCCGCTGTTAGGCCCCATGTTAGCAGAGTGCCCAATAAAGCTTGAGTAACAGGACCATAACCCGCAATCATTCTGTGTAATTTTGTTTTTCTTTTTATTACTATTGTCTGTCTTCTTAAAGTTTTTGTTGATAAACGTCTTTTATCTGAGTTTATTGTTTTCTTGTTCTTTTTTTTATTAATATTGTTTGCAAAATGATGACAATTTAAAGTTTATCTGAAATGTAATAATATTAAAACACTTTTTTAATCACACTATCAAAAAGTGATGTGTTTTCTTTTTACAAGTTATTTAAAAGAATGCTTTAAGTACTTATTACCTTAGCTTGGCTTCCTTGTATGCTTCATTTAAAGGATAATTTAAAATTAACAAATTGCTACAACAACTTTATACTTTGCTCTTTTATTGTGTAGTGCATTTTAATTGTAAATTTTTAAATCGTTTTAAACTTCAGCAACTTGTTTATGCCTTCAATACCGTTGCCAATTACTTTTGACTTAAATTATATACATTTTCAATGGAAAAATTGCTTAAAGGAATCCCCTTGCATTAATCCATTACATTTAAATATATAAAAATATAAAATTAAACGTTTTTATTTAATGTTCTTAGAATAATTAAACAAATTTAACAATCACGCGTTTTTTTAGATTACGACTGATAATATTTTATAAATATAAAGATGATTTTTAAAGATTAATTTAATTGTTAATCATTAATATATTATGTAAATATTTAATTATTTAAAAAAACACGTGGTTAAACTTAATGCAAAATGTAATTTTACAAAATGGTAATGTAATTGTGGAAATAGGAAGTTATCTAAAAATGAACTAGAACTAGAATTGTAGAAACGCTGAACTAGAACAAAACTAGAACTAAAACTCAACTAGAACTGAACTAGAACTAAACTAGAATTGAACTAGAACTGAACTAGAACTAAACTAGAACTGAACTAGAACTGAACTAGAACTGAACTAGAACTGAACTAGAACTGAACTAGAACTGAACTAGAACTGAACTAGAACTGAACTAGAACTGAACTAGAACTGAACTAGAACCGAACTAGAACTGAACTAGAACTGAACTAGAACTGAACTAGAACTGAACTAGAACTGAACTAGAACTAGAACTGAACTAGAACTGAACTAGAACTGAACTAGAACTGAACTAGAACTAAACTAGAACTGAACTAGAACTGAACTAGAACTGAACTAGAACTGAACCAGAACTGAACCAGAACTAAAATAAAACTAAACTATAACGAAAATATTGCTGAACTAGTACTAGCACTGAAATAGTATTGAGCTAAAACTAAACTAGAACTGAATAAAAGATATTTAAAAATTTTCAAGTCAGACTTTTATTTGACAATTTATCGTTTTAAGAAATAATGGTTAAAACTGATAAAAATAAAATCGCAAATATTTTTGCGATTATTATTCAGCTTAAGTATTTTTAATTTAATTTTCATAAAAAGACAGACATTTGACTGTAATTAATTATTAAAAAACCCAATATGAATAAATTATATTAAGCACTTTTAAACAGAAAAGGGAATTCAAATTAAATAAAATTACAGTTCTATTAAACAGAAAACAAAAAATACAAAATACGGGCAATTGCTAGAAAGAAAACTTAAAGAGATAATTAAAAAATATACTTGAATATTAACTAGAGTAAATGAGTTGATTATTTTACATTTCTAAATAATTTTCTCTAAATTTATTAACTAAACTTTAAATAATAACAAATATTTTAAGTATGTTACTAAGTAAAAAACTCAATTCTGAATGCGGAATTACTTTTTCTTAATTTTTGTGGATAATAAAAACTAAATAATTTAAATTTATTTGCAATTTAAGTCGCCTATCGCAGGCATATCTGTGCATTCAGATATTTACTTTCATTTTTAATTGAGAAATAGGGTTTCAATTAAGATCATGCAATTTAAAATTGATTAAATTGTAAACAATTGCAATAAAAACGAAAGACAACGTCATTGCCCTTAAAATAATTAAAAAACTGTAAACGACAATCCATACTAATTTATCTCAAATTATAATGAAATTCTGTTTTTATTATAAAATAAACAAAACTGATAAAAATTTTACATATTAAATAAATAAAAACGTTTCTATGTGGTCACTTGAGGAGGGAAATGCGATAATATTGTTTATGCCGGACATATTCTCGTTCTTTCTCTTTTTCTTCTTTCTATATTCAAATCTTTCTATGCTATTTTTAACGCCCTTTGACTACATTGTCAAGGGAGCCAGCCAGCAACAATTTAAAGCAGCACATTTTAAAGCATTATTTTCAATAACTTGTTTAAATGCCAGTTGACTTTATGTACTTAGCTTTTGTTTTTTTGTTCAATATTTACCTTTAATGTGTTGGCTGGAAGCAGATGAAATTGCCACGTTCCTAATCTTGATAATATTTAGTCAAATTGTTGACTAAACACCATAAATAATGAATGAGATAATAACGAGTGTATGATCTCAATAGGAATAACAATGTTTATATTTTTAGTATAGAAGACGACACTACTTTACAACAGCTATAATAACAATTAAATGAAGAGAACTGACTCCCACTTGGCTGCGCAACAAAATAAATGTTTTCTTTTTTTCTTCTTCAATATAATTTACAAAACCAGCTGCTATTCTTTAATTTAAAACAAAATAGCAGATTTATTTATTTTATTTTATATTTTTAAGTTAATAACGCCCTTTTGGTTAACTTTCTTAATGTATTTGTTTTGTTATTAAGCACAAAATATTTCATTTATTGTTAATATTTTTTCGTATTGTTTTTATTTAGTTGTTTTGTTTTTTTTTTGTACACCACGAATTCTTTATATTCGTCTCATCTTTTCATTCTTTTCTGACTTCGTCACGATTTACTAAATTATAAAAAACTTTTTTTAAAGAAGTAAATTGAATGATTCTTTTTTTATTATAATTATTTATTTGTAATTTTCTTAACACCACCACCGTTTAACCATTCACTCCACAACTAATTCTCTACTCAACTAACGACGACATTGAATTGTTAATACTGTCAGAAGTTTCGCTTTGCTTGTCTTGCTCTTTTATACGTTATTTTTCAGTTGAGTTTTACTTTTAATTTATGTTCTTTTTATTTCTATTTATTTTACTCTCTTATTCACTTGTTTTTATAGTATTTTATTTCTATATATGCTTTCCCAACCAAAACTCTGAGGGCAATTATTTGGTTGTTATCATTAAAACGTATCTGCAGCTGCCAGTTCTCTTAGCTTTTGTATTTTAAAGTTTTCTTTTTTCAAAACAGCGCTACCAGAGTGTGTGGTTATGAGATACATGTTGAGGAGTTTTTTGTACAACTTAAGTGTAATTAAACTAAACAAGAACTGAACTAGAAATGAACTTAATGAAATGAAAACGTGTGTAGAACAGCGTAGAACAGAACTAGAACTGAACTAGAACAACTAGAAAGAACTAGAGACAGTAATGAACTAGAACCTGATGAACTAGACTGAACTAGAACTGAACTAGAAACTAGAACTGACTAGATGAACTATAACTGAACAGAATGAAACATAGAACTTAGAACTGACTAGAGACAACTGAACTAGAACTGAGAACACTAGACTGAACTAGAACTGAACTAAAACTGAGAACTGGAACTGAACTAGAACTGAACTAGAACTGAACTAGAAAAATAGACTATGAACTGAACTAGAACTGAATAGAACGAACTAGAACTAGACTGAACTAGAAATGAACTAGAAGAATAGAATGAACTAGAACTGAACTAGAACTGAACTAGAACTGAACTAGAACTGAACTAGAACTGAACTAGAACTGAACTAGAACTGAACTAGAACTGAACTAGAACTGAACAAGAACTGAACAAGAACTGAACTAGAACTGAACTAGAACTGAACTAGAACTGAACTAGAACTGAACTAGAACTGAACTAGAACTGAACTAGAACTGAACTAGAACTGAACTAGAACTGAACTAGAACTGAACTAGAACTGAACTAGAACTGAACTAGAACTGAACTAGAACTGAACTAGAACTGAACTAGAACTGAACTAGAACTGAACTAGAACTGAATTAGAACTGAATTAGAACTGAACTAGAACTGAACTAGAACTGAACTAGAACTGAACTAGAACTGAACTAGAACTGAACTAGAACTGAACTAGAACTGAACTAGAAATGAACTAGAACTGAACTAGAACTGAACTAGAACTGAACTAGAACTGAACTAGAACTGAACTAGAACTGAACTAGAACTGAACTAGAACTGAACTAGAACTGAACTAGAACTGAACTAGAACTGAACTAGAACTGAACTGAACTGAACTGGAAGAACTGAACTAGAACTAGAACTAGAACTGAACTGAACTGAACTGAACTAGAACTGAACTGAACTAGAACTGAACTGAACTAGAACTGAACTAGAACTGAACTAGAACTGAACTAGAACTGAACTAGAACTGAACTAGAACTGAACTTGAACTGAACTAGAACTGAACTAGAACTGAACTATAACTGAACTAGAACTGAACTAGAACTGAACTAGAACTGAACTAGAACTGAACTAGAACTGAACTAGAACTGAACTAGAACTGAACTAGAACTGAACTAGAACTGAACTAGAACTGAACTAGAACTGAACTAGAACTGAACTAGAACTGAACTAGAACTGAACTAGAACTGAACTAGAACTGAACTAGAACTGAACTAGAACTGAACTAGAACTGAACTAGAACTTAACTAGAACTGAACTAGAACTGAACTAGAACTGAACTAGAACTGAACTAGAACTGAACTAGAACTGAACTAGAACTGAACTAGAACTGAACTAGAACTGAACTAGAACTGAACTAGAACTGAACTAGAACTGAACTAGAACTGAACTAGAACTGAACTAGAACTGAACTAGAACTGAATTAGAACTGAACTAGAACTGAACTAGAACTAGAACTGAACTAGAACTGAACTAGAACTAGCACTCAACTAGAACTGAACTAGAACTAGCACTCAACTAGAAATAAAATAGGACTGATCTAGAACTGAACCTGAACTACAACTCAACTAGTGTAAAACTTTTACCTTTTATTACATTATTAAAAATTTCAGTGCAGTCTTCTGGGTATATTCCGGCACTTCAGAAATTAAAATATTACCAACTTGAAACCATAAAAAATCTACTACTTACCAAGTAGCTTTCTTTATTTATTTAAGCATTATTTATGATATAATTAGTTATAATTTTGTCTCTGAATACATTTGCAAAATGAATTCAGTAAAAATTTTGTAAAATAAATCATTTCCCAACAACAAAAATATTTTATCTCAGACAAAAAGAAGCTGTTAAATTTTTTCAAGTGTAGGCTGAAATATTTGAATAATTTTATAGAGAGTAGTTATTTTAGTTTTTATACGCTAGCGTCATCAAAGTAAACAAATACGAAACGCAATACTAAAACAAACGTAACGATTAATTGGGCACGTAGTGTCAGTGTAAACATTTCATCAGTTGGATACACTCTACCTTTTGCTTGTTTTAAATATCTATGTATACTTTGAATAAAGATGACTTGACACTATACTTTTAGGGATTTACATATATTTATACAGACTTATATGTTATAAGATTAGATATGTTGAATTATTTTGGTTTTGATTTAATAAGTACTTTTATTCAAAGAAAAGTAATTATGTCAAAATGTTTTAAGATATTAAAGCAAGGATATAAATTAAGTTTGTTATATGTATAGAATTTATAATCGGGATCTCTTGAGAGATATTATGAAAAGTTGATCCGTAAAAAAGGTACCTTTTGAGGGAAATAAAGGTAACTTTATAACTTTCAAAATGTACTTTTTAAGAAGAAATTAGCTTGAAACTATTGCATGAAAAGCTCCCCTTTATTGTATTGAATACTACAGTAAAATTTCAATTTTTCATTTTCAATTTCAGCGCGTTAAATCTATGCAACCAGACTCCGAGTGCAATAAGCGTATACGTGCCAAAGCTGGTGGCGGTGGCACACCTAAAGACACCACACCCAACCAAAAGACTGGTAATCTCAAGAAGACCTCCACACTTATCGGTGGCACACCAACTAGTTCAACAAACAAAAAGAAGACTGATATAAGCCAATTCTTTAAGAAATTGGAAAGAGCAACACCAACATCTACTTCCAAAGTAAATGCAGGTGGCGACATCACAACAATACCAGAATCACCAGCAACACAATTATTAAATCGCATTCATTCCGAATGTTATACACCCTTAACGGAATTGAAAAAGAAAACCACATCCTCTAAAGAAAATAATAATAACAACGATATAGAAAACAGTAACGAAGACAAACTCGAGGAAAATGATGACAATTCCTCTAATATAAGATTGGGAGTAAAGAAGGCTTTAAATTTCCTACCGGGTGATACAGTTGAGGCAAGTTTCAGTGCCAATGTTACGACAAGACGTAGAAGTAATAGTGTAGTGGTGCAACAAAAATCTACCGTAGACATTAAGTGTGTAAATGAGGAGTCATCGCCCTTACCCCAGGGACGAGGGAGAACTAGAAGACATAGTCTAATGCCAAACCATGAAATAGAAGCTACCACTAATTCATTGGTGACAATGGCTATATCGGCTACACCCAGTAAATCTACTAGACGTCGTAGTTCCATACACACACCCAAAGACATGTCAATGGTGATCAGCGAAACCCCCAATAAAATGAATAATATAGAACCCATATTGGAGGAAACTAATGAAATGGAAAAGGAACCAGTACAACAAACCAAATCTGTTACAAAAAGACGAACATTATATGCGGCCAAGACAATGGAGCAAACCGAGTTATTACAAAATGAAACACACAAAGATGTAGAGATAAACAGTACAAAAACCACACGTAGACGCACTTTATATGCCCACAAAACAATGGAAACATCGGAAATTAATGAAGTGGTAGACAAAGTATTAAGTAATGTTTCCACCAGGCGTAGAACTTGTTTAAATCTTAAATCTTTAGAACAAACGGAAATTAAGGAAGTAATGGATACAACAAATACACCGGACAAAAGAACCCCTCTAGTGAATAGCAAAATTTTGGAATTAAGCAACGAAGTGGAAATGAAAACGCCACCCACAACCAAAGCGGCGGATAAAACCATAAGTAGACGTAGAACTTTATATGGAGCACAAGCCTTTAGTCCCAATGTTACTGCCGGCAGCAGCATTTGTATAACACCCACTAACTTCCAAACGGGTAAAGTAGCCAGCTCTACTCTTTTGGAAGATAGTGGCAATAGAAGCAAATTGGTGGCAACACCACCGGCTGATGCCACAACTGGTAAACTATTGGAAGAGACCGAACAATGTGCCACACCATTGATATTTAGTTCTACACGACAGCCCACCAATAAAAGACGCACACTCTTCGATGTGTCAATGGATATTATAACACAACGTTTGCAATGTATTAATCAATCAGCCAGACGTTCGCTGGCACCTCCTACTCCCTCAGCCGAGGTAGCCGTATCCACTCCTTTAGATACGCGTAAAACTAATCATTCTTCAACTGAGACTTTAAATGAATGTACAAATAGTAATGATGGCTTGACTAGCTTAAGCACACCCGAGGCAAATACCTTGAAAAAGAAACGTAAATTGTTTATGCCCGAAATGTTGGTTACACCGCCACCGGCAGTTTCTAGTGAAACAGCTAAGGAAACGGAAACATTAGTCAACACTGCAAACAAAACTGCCAACACAAATTCTGTTACTAAGCGTCGTAGAACCTTGATGCCTATATCTCAACCACAACCTACCACAAGTGTTACGCTTAAAGAATCAACTAGTAGCTTGGAACGTACTCCCAATGCCCGGAAACGACGCAGTACTTTAGATTTTGAACAAATCAAAAATATTAAAACAAACAAGGAAGCCTCTACGTCAAGCAGCCAGGAATCTGTTAAAGCTAAAAAACAACCCGTTTTAGTTTATACAAATATGCATCAACAGCAAATCGATGTCATACGTGAGGTTGGTACCACAACTCCTACACCTAATAAACACTAGAGCATGTTACTCCTTAAACAGTTCCTAGCAAAATTTATTACACACATACAAAAAAAAAACATAATTATGTTTTAATATTAATTACAAATCTACAAACAATCCCCCTTAACAACAAAATCCTTACTATAACTATCACTC